ACATAGCACAAGATCGTATAGTTCGTTTGCTAGAGTTTTCCAATGTCAAGTATCTTTTCCTTAGACCATGAGATCGTGTAACTCCCGGATACCGTAGGAGTGCTTTGGGTATGCCAAACGTCACAACGTAACTGGGTGACTATAAAGGTAGACTACGGGTATCTCCGAAAGTGTCTGTTGGGTGACATGGATCAAGACTGGGATTTGTCACTCCGTATGACGGAGAGGTATCACTGGGCCCACTCGGTAATGCATCATCATAATGAGCTCAGAGTGACCAAGTGTCTGGTCACGGGATCATGCATTACGGTACGAGTAAAGTGACTTGCCGGTAACGAGATTGAACGAGGTATTGGGATACCGACGATCGAGTCTCGGGCAAGTAACATATCGATAGACAAAGGGAATAGCGTACGGGGTTGATAGAATCCTCGACATCGTGGTTCATCCGATGAGATCATCGTGGAGCATGTGGGAGCCAACATGGGTATCCAGATCCCGCTGTTGGTTATTGACCGGAGAGTCGTCTCGGTCATGTCTGCTTGTCTCCCGAACCCGTAGGGTCTACACACTTAAGGTTCAGTTACGCTAGGGTTGTAGGGATATGTATATGCAGTAACTCGAATGTTGTTCGGAGTCCCGGATGAGATCCCGGACGTCACGAGGATTTCCGGAATGGTCCGGAGGTAAAGATTTATATATGGGAAGTCCTGTTTCAGGCATCGGGACAAGTTTCGGGGTTATCGGTATTGTACCGGGACCACCGGAAGGGTCCCGGGGGTCCATCGGGTGGGTCCACCTGTCCCGGGGGGCCACATGGGCTGTAGGGGGTGCGCCTTGGCCTACATGGGACAAGGGCACCAGCCCCACATAGGCCCATGCGCCTAGGGTTTGAGGGGGGAAGAGTCCTAGGAGGGGAAGGCACCTCCTAGGTGCCTTGGGGGGGAGGGAAACCCCCTTGGCCGCCGCACCCCCTAGGAGATTGGATCTCCTAGGGCCGGCCACACCCCCTTGGCCCTCCTATATATAGTGGGGGGGAGAGGAGGGACTTCATACCTGAACGCCTTGGCCTTTGGTTGCCTCCTTCTCCCTCCCCAACACCTCCTCCACCTCCATAGTGCTTAGCGAAGCTCTGCCGGAGTACTGCAGCTCCATCAACACCACGCCGTCGTGCTGCTGCTGGTGCCATCTCCCTCAACCTCTCCTCCCTCCCTTGCTGGATCAAGAAGGAGGAGACGTGGCTGTTCCGTACGTGTGTTGAACGCGGAGGTGCCGTCCGTTCGGCGCTGGTCATCGGTGATTTGGATCACGTCGAGTACGACTACATCATCACCGTTCTTTTGAACGCTTCCGCTCGCGATCTACAAAGGTATGTAGATGCATCTAATCACTCGTTGCTAGATGAACTCCTAGATGATCTTGGTGAAACGAGTAGGAAAATTTTTGTTTTCTGCAACATTCCCCAACAGCAGGACCTCTGTCCTTTTCATCCCCACAGATCATATGTATTCATTTTCATAATTGCACAAAAGACCATTCGGGGCTGATCGTATTCGAATCATAGCTTAACCTCTCTTGGGTCCGACCCAGATCGTATTCGAATCAGAGTCGTTAAATATTCCTAAGGTCATTTGGCAGCTTCCTGTTCAAACATAGGTCGTATTCAAACCAAAGAGAACATAGCTGTCGGTACCCACTTGATCGGCGCAATGCCAAAACTCACTTGGGGGCTTCTTGATCGTATTCGAATCATAGTTTAACCTCTCTCGGGTCCGACCCAGATCGTATTCGAATCAAAGTCGTTAAATATTCCTAAGGTCATTTGGGGACTTCCTGTTCAAACATAGGTCGTATTCGAACCAAAGAGAACATAGCTGTCGGTACCCTCTTGATCGGCGCAATGCCAAAGCCACTGGGGGCTACATGGTCGTATTCGAACCCTAGCTTAACCCCTTTGGGACGGTTTACTGATCGTATTCGAATCAGAAGCCTTAAGTTTGTCTTTATATTCTTTTTTGCTTAAGTTTTTTTTGAAAGAACATTTTGGATTTGTCTTATGATCTTTTTTTGTCCGTAATTCAAGACATATAAGGTTTTTTGAGCCGGCTTAACTTTGAAAGCAATTAGTAGCCCGACTTGTGAAAAATTCCAAGAGAAAGTCATGGTTTATAAACCGAGTCATCACCATTACTGTCCGGGTCATTAAGCCGACAGTGGAAGCTTGATATCTCAGGTATAATGTTATCACAATTATATTACAAGTTCTAATCAGAATTGTTTATAACTCATATTTTTATGTGTGATAATTATAACCCGCCCTGCGGTGAGTCGCCGAGGGTCTCTGTGATTTACCTCTGTGCAGAGTTAATTACAGGATTTCTTATGCACAAAGGAAATCAAAAAGCATAAGACGGAGTAAAAATATGGTGGCGATTTAAAGCAATGTTAAGGCATCAAAACGTGCACGAAGGCACGACGCAGCAAAGTCATATCTACTCCTATTACATGACTCCCCAAGTCGAAATGATCAAGCATTGTTTTCAGCAAGGCTACAAATATAAGCCGCCTGATGGGTTAGTTCTCTTGATTGCCTGAAGCTTCCGGATCAACCCTTTTCGCTTCTTCTTCCTGCTCCTGAGCCTGGAAGGTTGATGACGACCAGTCAATGCCACTCAAAGCTTTAAATGCAGCTTCGCCATCAACAAGCCCAGCCGGGTCAATCTCAGGAGCGAAGGTGTGCTTACGGAGTGGGGGGATCAGACTGGTCACTTCATAGTGAGGCGTTGGAATTTCCGGTTCTCCGCATCGTAACCCGCATGGTACTTGGAGAGATCCGATTCTTCAGCAATTATGGTGGCTACAGGGCGTATTGCCTTTACACAGGCAGCAAAATCTTCTTGTTCAAAGGGCGCACCGTCTTCTTTGAGGCTCCGATACCCAATGGCAATGTCAGCCGGGTCTAGTTCCGGAAGCCAAGCCTTGGCCCGGCTCAACGCAGCTATAGCACCAGATCCTTCAAATGCCCTCTTTAGTTCTGTAATCCGTTGGGGCAACACAGAAAGCTTTCTTAACACATCTGCCAATAGGGTAGGAACTTCATTGGACAGAGCCACGCTAGCTAAAGCGCGCTGAGACCCGTTTATAGTTGCTCCACCAGGGTATAAACCGCCTTCAGCTGATCAGAGAGTCCTGGTTCAGATTTGAGCTCCTAGGGCCTACATAGCAATGTCAGGTGCGTTAAGAGACAAAATTTTTATGATCATTGAAAAGTATAGATTCTCTACCTTGCAGGGCGACTTACCAAAGATTGCGGTAACCATCTGAGTCACAGGGCGGTTTAAGCCGGACAATTCATTGGTTACCTTCTCAAGAGCCGCCTCTGAATTAACAGCTCGTTGGGTTAAAGCTTTCTTTTCATCAGCCCAAGTTTTTCTCTCCACCTCAAAGTCGGCCTTCAGCTTCTCTTGTTCAGATATGCTAATTCAAACTTGGAGTTGCCTTTTTGGATTTCTATTTCTTGTGCTTCAGGTGGTTCTTTAAATCAGCAATGTCTGTTTGTAATTGGCTGGTGACAATTCCACGACACCCTGCAAGGTTGCTATTGGATGGTTGACCGTCTTGCCTGCCATAGTCTTTCCCACGATGTATTTTATGTGCTCTGCCATCACATCCATGAGGACATGAGATTCTCCTTATAGGTTGTTCCTTGTGCAGACTATCTAAGAGGACGTACGCCTCTCGGCGTGTGCTGGCACCAATTGGATCAACAACATTTTACTTAGGAGTTAGACTCGTGCTAGTTTGGCCGAGCATCCCATGTTCCTCAGCTCTGGGTAGTTTGTCCATGCTTTTGTGTGTACATCATATGATGTAACCACCTCTTTAGTTATTCTAACTTCTTCTATCAACGGAAAGATACACATGCTTGTGCATATTCGTGAAAAATACACACATGAGTGGAATGCAATATCTACCTAGTGTGGAGTGCACCGTCGGTCTCAATGTGAAAAACGGAGGGAACTCGACTTTTGCCTCACAGTCACCACTTTCTTCTGAAACGTTCTCGAGAGAGCCCATGCCGGAAGGTTCTGGTTTCCACGAATGTGTGTTGACAAGCGACGGAAGGCCGAGGTTTAGGCGTTATCGATGTTGGAACGAAATTTGGACATAACAATTGAGTTCCTTTTTCTTAAACTTCAAGGGTTCCTTGAGGCGACTATATCTCACTCGTTGACTCCTCAAGATTTCCTACTCATGGACTAGCCCACAGTAGGAGAAGTAACACTGTGCCCGTTGTGAGACATAAGTTTGTCTCACCTTCAGTATTCCCGCGAATGGGCCAGCCAAGCAAGCGTTTTTCTGCACGTTGGAAAAGTTCGTTCTTTTGTTGCGCAATATTCTTTTGGTCTGGTTTTATTTTTTCTGTTTGTTTTTCTTTTTTGGTTTTCTTTCTTTCTTCTGTTCAGGTTTTTAAGTGTTACTTATTTCTTTTTTGTTTTTCTTCCCTTTTTATTTTTTTGTAAACATATTTTTAATGGTACAAAATATTATTAATAAATTATGAAAACGTTTATTTTATTGTATTAACATATTTTAGATATCACAAGCATATTTTTGAAACGCGTGAACATCTTTTAAAATTTACGAACAATTTTCGGAATGCTATCAAGTTGCGTGTATATTTGTGTACATTGAATGAACATTTTTTTAACATTTTCAAAATTTATATAAAATATGTTTCTGTTTCAGAAATATAAGTATATGAAAGTAATAAAAGAATGGGCGAGGGAACCGGCGCTGGCGCCGCGCTGGGCTGGACCATTTGGGGCCGCTCCCTTTTTCTATCAACAACGGTGGCCACTTCCCCTTGCGGCCCATTTTCATCCTCACAGGACATAGCGCTGAACTGAACTCAAATACAAGTGGTCAGTCTCAGCCGCCGCCACGCCTCCTCCAGCGTCACTCGGAAACCAAACCAGGATCAGATCCAATCAGATCACATGAGCAAGAGGCGAAAGAGGAGCAACCTCGCCGGCCGGCATCCCCTGCCCCAACGCCGCCGTGAAAACGAATGGTCAGCCCATCCCCCCTGCCTTCTATCCTATGCTAATTTCTCTTGTTTCTCTGACGATGGTCTAATTTATACGGGCAGGCGAGATTGGCCCAACGGTTCAGGCTGGACGTGGCGAGCGGGCTTTTGGCCCGGCTCGCGGCCCGCGAAGGACCGGACCGAACGGTCCTGGCCCGGTAAAATACTTGGTCGGTCCGAGCTCAAGAATCAGGCCCGAGAAATCTTCGGTCCGGTCCTGTTTTTGACCGAGCCGACCGAGCAGACCGACAATCCCAGCGGCGACCTGCGCGAAAGGAGTAGTGGAGGAGCAGTGTAGGGAGCGCTGCACCTTCCCGCCGTCGTCGACCGTCGCCGTCTTCACCTGCCCGTAGTAGACTGCCTCCTCTACGTCTGGCCGCCGTCGATCATGCCAGTTTACAACTGCTGTCGAAGTTTCACAAAATACAGTTTCGTCAGATGTAGCAGTAAGCTGTTAGAATTCAGTTTCGTCAGACAATACAGTTTTCTTCAGTTTCGTCAGAAAATACAATTTTCTTGGAAGAGCAACCATGGCAGCCGTTTGAGCACAGCACGAACGTAACGCAAGCCACCATCTGGGAGCAACAATCGATCGGTCGTGATTTTTTGATCGTGGGAGAAAAGCTCAACCGTGATTTTCGCATCCAACTAATCAGGCAAGTATTTTTGAAAGGCAAGGAGTAGATGTAATAGCGCCCAATTCCTATAATCATGGGCCATCACCCCACGTTGCAGTTTCCTTTTTTATGCAGTCGAGATGGAAACAAAAAATACGACGGAATCACGATTTGATCCGAAACTCATGGCGCCATTTGAGGAAGAACTCGACGTCAGGTTTGATCCTCTAATCACGGCAAGGCCCATAAACAGAAAATCTTGGCCGCATACTCGTTCTACATTACTTGCATGCAATAGGGAAAACTGCTAATGAACAAATATCTGCAGGTTCGTGGGTAACAGACGCGCCGCCCAGCGCACACCTAGCCCACCTTGCCGCCGGCGCTCTCGCATGAAGCCCACCTTGTCACAGCACCAGCGCACGTCGCACACCTCGCCGCTGCACCCGTGCAAGTCGCCGCCGGTGGTCGTTGGCCGGTCCGCTCGGTCCGGCCCGGGCTTGGCCGCTGCCGGTCCGGTCCTAGAAATCAGGACCGTTGTGATGCTCGGTCCGGTCCGGTCCGGACCGCCGGCGGCCGGTCCAAACGACGGCTCGGACCGGACCGTGTCCACCCCCCAACCTGCCGACGGCACTCGTCGAGGACATCGCCGGCCGGCTGCTCAGCCACGACGTGGCCGAGTACATCCGCCTCCGCGCCGCGTGCAAGGAGTGGAGGAGATGCACTGCGGACCCGCGCGAGGGATGCAACCACCTGGACCCCCGCTTCCGCCTGCGCCGCTGGATCATGCTGTCCAACCGCACCGACGGCGACGGCCGCCGCTTCCTCAACCTCTCCACCGGCGCCAGCGCCCGCGTCGACCTCCCGGAGCTCTCCCGACACCACCTCGAGGCCAGCACCGAGGGCCTCCTGCTCCTGCGCGACAAGGCGAGCCACGCCGTGCGCCTCCTCAACCCGCTCACCAGGGCCCTCACCGACCTCCCGCCCGTCACCGCGGACCTTGGCGGCGCGTACGCCGTCTGGACGGGGCCGTTCCATTCCGCGGCGCGTATCATCTAGCCGGCGTCTCTGACGAGACCTCCCCATCGTCAGTCGTGCTCTTGATGGCTGACCGTCACCTTGGGCGTGCCATAGCCTACGCCAACCCTGGTGACCAGCGTTGGGCGGTGGTGGATGACGAGATGTGGAGGCCAGACCAACCCTTGTCATGTTGATTCTCGTCGGCCTCAACCATGCAGGGGCGCTTCTAGTTTGCAACTCTAGAGGGGTACATGATACAGGTAAGGCTCTGCCCAGAGCCTCGTCTGGTGCCCGTGGTCGTCGACCAGCCCAACACCCAGTACAACATGTTCTGCTACCTCGTCCCTCCCGACGACGACCACCATTGCGGTGGCGGCATGCTCATGGTGCGCCACTACCTCAACCTCGATCACCTCAGCGCCGACGAGCGAAGAATCATGAAACGCAGGAGGAAGGTCATGGACGTGATCAGGATGGAGCACCATGTGAAGGCCCAACGGTGGAACCTGATCCAGGTGTTTGAGGTGGATGTGGCCGGGAGGAGACTTGTTCCGGTGGAGGACATTGGCCGGCACCGCGCCGTGTTTGTCGGGGACGTGGCGTGCTTCTCCCTCTCGACCAGGAGGTTTCCATGCGTGGCAGGGAACGCCGTGTACATGGGGGCGCGCGGTGCCCACTGCCCTCCTGTCGGCGTGCGGTATCTGGCGGACAAGACTGCTGATCCATCGTTTGTGTTCACCACCGACGCGCCAGGATTTTTAGACTGTATATCAGTGAAACAGTACCGCCAGAAGGCACCGGAGCTGAATCTAGTGCCTCTTGCTCGCCCTTGTACGCTCCAAGAGTACCTCGTCTGTTGCGCAGGCCTCCTCGGCGGCCTCAAAGACTAATTCAATCATCGATCATCAGCAAGTTAAGGGAAGCATATGCATGTTGTTCCCTTCTAGTATCAGAGCTCTAACCCTTGGGCGTTAGAGGTTGTCCTTTATTTTTCGGTTTGTTTTTTTCCTTTTTGGTTTTCTTTTTCTTGTTCCTGCTTTTTATTTTTATTTATTTCATTTCTTGTTTTTCTTTTTTGTAAGCATTTTTATATTTTATAAACATATTTTTAATGGCACATAACATTTCTGATAAACTTTGCGATCATTTCTTATATTTTCTTAACATTTTTTAGGTATCATAAACACATTTTGAAATGTGCAAACATTTTTTAAAATCTAAGAAAAATACAATGTAGCAGAGTTACTCTTTCACTGTATCAGTAGGTCTAACCAAAAGATCGTAGCTTATGGCATGAAAGAAAATAGAACCTAGAGAAGCTCAAATGGCATAATAAAATATTAATCTTCTTGTTATTGTTTTGGCCCAGTCACCTGACTCGCCTTGAAAAAAGGAGCCCAATCACTTGATAGAAATTGTTTACGATATTATCTCTAGCTCGCTCAGCTAACCAAAGATAAAAGTTAAAATGACACTGAAGAAACAAACAAAATATGCTATACCTAATCTCATCACCGGACAGACGATATCTCTGAATTCTATTCTTTTATCTCTCTCAGTGAAACTATACTGAAATTGCAGTTGCATTGAGGAGAAACAATTATTAGGAGCTCTTAGCTTAAAAACATATGTGTGAAGTACGTGCCGTTTGACTCTCGATCTTCCAGCCAAACGCTTTGTTGGGATTAAAGATCTTCCGTCGCATCGAGTCAGGTTCTGGAACTGTCGAAGGCATCCGAAGAGTCAAGAGACATGACCGCTCACCTTTATTTACCACTCCTTGGCATCTCGAAATCTTCAATTTGAACTTGGCCAGCGCTTCCAGGTCGCATCATCAACCACCTTGAATCCATATGGAGGGGGAGGGGTTAGGGATAGGTGGAATAGAGAGAGAATGGCGGTGTGCCGCCTGCTCTGCATCTCCGAGCTCCCCAACATGCCGCGGATGCAGATCCTGAGCCTGTTGCCGCTCAAGTCAGCTATCCACACCGGCATGAGAGCATGAGGTTTAGGATCAGCGGCGGCTCGTGCCATCCTCACTCAGCCTCGGAGTCCCGTCTGGTGCAGAGACTAGATCGCGTACTCACGGTGACACGAGAGTACGAGACTCCACCCAATCACGTCAAGGTGCTGCTCAGCCTGGGCGGAGATGCGCGCAGATAGAACCTGAACCTGACCTTGCCATCCGACGCTCGGGACATGGCCATCTACCTGTCAGCTCGCAACCAGAGACACGAGCACTCTCTTTGTCGTCCGCCCGATAGGGACCGTATATCTCGGCTTGCCGGCGTCGTTGGATGCTGCGGAGTGTGGACGGCGGGGTCGTCGACACAGACATGTTCATGTCGCGGTTTTATGCTGCTGGAAGGCGCTGACAATTACGGCGGGTCCATCCCGTGGAGCTGCTCCCAGGACTCTGATGCTGCAGTGCAGATCAATGCAAAACCGGAACAAAATCACAGGTACCTTCTGCTTTGTAGGCTTACAGTGACCTGATGCCCAAATTTGAAGTCCATAGTTTGTTGTTTGCTTGCTTATTTTATTTAACAAATTTTATTGGCACGTCGCATCTTTTAACAAGCTTTGTTGAGAAAATTACAGAATCTGTAATGCTTACAGTTTAGTCCATTCTGATTATGGTACCTTGCAGATTATATATCTGTATTGTTCCAACTAGGCTCCAACTTAATTACTCCATACTGTGTGCACATCCTAACTCAAGAATTTGCAAGTTGGTAATTTCCTTTACATTTCATTTGGATGAATTTTAACTCCCTGTTGTTTATATATAGATATAATTGCAGGAGTCATAGGTGGCATCTTCCAACTGCTCCTGCTCCTTACCACTGGCACTGTGGCACATGCAAGCAACCCGATCAAGGTTCTGAACAAAGCTGTCTACCCGCGCGTCTTTGTAGTCCATATTGCCGAAGAGCAACGCTATCTTCCTGGTGCCACCGCCAGCATGATTGTCAGTTCTGTCACCTCCAATTTATCAGTAGTGGCCTCTCTGTATCTCAGTCAAATTTTCTCAAGCATTCGACCAAAGTGGGAATCAGTATATCCACTAGCACAGTTGGTTATTATGAGTTGAAGCGGAGCTCGGTTTAACAAGGTGTGGAGAACTCTGCGAATTTTGCTGGTCCCATTGAAGTTTATCTTATTTGTCTTTCCTAAGGCGTCTATTGATTTAAAAAAATGTATTCATCATAAAGGAGAGACTGAAATAAACCTCTATAGGTTGTCGCCGCCGGTGGAGTGATTGTCATGAATATGGTTCTATAATAATATATATTTTTACTCAAAACTCACAAGGTAGAATTAGTAGCTTCCTTTGGCTTATGTCAGTGCCTGCTTGCAGTAATACTTTTTGAAGCAATGTTAAGGGAGTTGACCTGGTGTTGAAAGCTAACTTCATTTGCTTGCTGTATCTACAGTTCTGCAATGTTAAGGAGTACGTCAATCTTAAACTTGCAAAACTAAATCACCTAACCAACATCTGCCTTTGAGTCTCAAAAAAACATCTGCCTTCGACGAATACTCCTCTTCATCAAATCATGTTTCATATTTGTGTGTATATAAGAACCAGTGTTAAATGCTATATGGAAGTATGAATAATATTCAAAATACTAATTACAAATCCTCTATCCTATTTAGCATGTACTTAACCGCATGCAGACTTCTTGCAAACAACCAAATGGAGATCAGTGGCCCATTAGTAAAAAATAAAACAACCCTTCCAATGGTTGTTGAGACCAAACCATTAAGCATTTAGAAGCCTACTAGATGTCCCGCAGCAACGCGCGGGATATTCATCTAGTTATATACAAAAAACATGTACACTCAATATTAGCAGCAGCAGCGTCAATAATTGTTATCAAAAACCAAAGAACTCAAGCTGGGTCACAAAATGGCTCTCCCCCTATGAGTAAATCATAGGTCATATGAACTAAAGCGCTACATGTATACTCATTTGCTGATCTACTACAGCCATTCCCTCAAACATCTCATGGGCCACTTAACTACTCCCTCTGTCCCAAAATATAAGAATGTTTTTAACACTACACTAGTGTCAGAAACGTTCTTATATTATGGGACGGAGGGAGTAATACGGATCAATCCTGATGGTCGCAAAATCATCACATACATGCATCACAGAGAGTGAATCTTCTGCTGTCCCTTCTGTATTTGCACTAGCTGAGGAAGAAAAGTAATATGTCAGTACAATCACAAGACATTTTAGTTAAGCAAGCATCACTTGCAAAAATGTGGGCAGCAAGCAAATCCAACCTGAATCATTGTAGTAGAGAAGGCACCCTTACGTATTAAAAACCAAAAATGGCTAGCAAGCTGTAACAGAGAGCTCGCTTCCTATATACAGTTTTCTGAACTACTCCCTCCGTTCCAAAATGCTAAAAAAATTTGGAACAGAGGGAGTAAATGCTAAAAAATTATTCGCTCAATATAAAGCAAGGAGATAATGTAAACAACTATTTTGAAAAATCCATGCTGCACAAACATAAGAATTGTTTTTTATTTCAACCTAAAGAACATGCTCTCCTCTGTCTGAGATTTATTTAACAAAAAGAGATCCATGCTCTCCTCTGTCTGAGCTCTATGGATCTTTTTTCCTCTGAAATCAAATTGCATACATACAGATCCAGTTACTCTACCATTGCTGCTTACATTTTTCTAAAGAAGGATTGCCATGTAGTTTAAGCAAAAATGTCTAAAAGTTAGATCCTTCTATAATCTTTGTACTTTAATGTTGCTGAGAGCATATTCGACGAAAAAAATGTTGCTGACACACTGAGTTTGGAAGCTATAAATTTGACACTTTCATTGTTTGTCGTACAAGGGATCAACTGTTATCTCCGTTCAGCGCCTCTTAACTTGGTATGCATGCATTACAAACAGTTCTAGTGTTATTGAATGTATATTTTTCAAAAGATATAACAAATCACTGGAATTAACAGTGCATTATTCAGAATTTGGTACACTTGGAACTCTGGGACAAAGAAGCAAATGTATATAGGCCATTATTCGTGAACTACTCACGAGTAACGTGTCTGTGTGTTCAGTTTGGTTCCCAGTAAGGATTAGTGCCACAGGTTCATATGCATTTTCTATGTAGGTTTAGAATTATCTAGCATTTCAAAAAAAGAATACTGAAACATTGGTTTAAATGTACAGGTAAAACACAGGTGGTTTTACATAATTCTAGACTAGCTTGTATGTCCATCCTTCATAACTTCCTGGAGCACCACAAGGTAGAAATCAACCAATATATTGGAAGGATACATCAGCTCGAACTTTAAAGAGAACAACAAGTGGTTTTGTACAATACGTACTACAATGCTCTGTCCATCTTTCAGATTTTTTTGACTCAACATAATGAGAAATGAACAGAGGAGGAGACAACATGCTTCCCTTAACTTGCTGATGATGACTGAATTAGTCTTTGAGGCCGCCAAGGACGCCAGCGCAACAGACAAGGTACTCTTGGAGTGTACAAGGGCGAGCAAGAGGCAGTAGATTCAGCTCCGGTATCCTCTGGCGGTACCGTTTCACTGATATATCATCTAGAAGCCCTGGCACGTCGGTGGCGAACACAAACGACGGATCGGCAGTCTTGTTCGCCAGATACCGCACGCCGACGGGAGGGCAACGAGCCCCAAGCGCCCCCATGTGTATCGCGTTCCCTGCCACGCATGGAAACCTCTTGGCAGAGAGGGAGAAGCAGGCCACGTCCCCGACAAACACGGCGCGGTGCCGGCCAATGTCCTCCACCGGAACAAGCCTCTTTCCGGCCACATCCACCTCAAACACCTGAATTAGGTTCCACCGGTGCTCCTTCACAAGGTGCTCCACCCTGATGACGTCCCTGGCCTTCCTCCTGCGCGTCATGATTCTCCGCTCTTCATCGCTGAGGTGATAGAGGTTGAGGTAGTAGCGCACCATGAGCATGCCACCACCGCGGCGGTGGTCGTCATCGGGAGGGACGAGGTAGCAGAACATGTTGTATTTGGTGTTGGGCTGGTCCACAACCACGGGCACCACACGAGGCTCTGGGCAGAGCCTCACCTGTATTATGTACCCCTCGACAGTCACAAAGTAGACGCGCCCCTGCATGGTTGAGGCCGACGAGAATCGACATGACATGGGGATGCCGGGCCTCCACATCTCGTCATCCACCACCGCCCAACGCTGGTCAACAGGATTGGCGTAGGCTATGGCACGCCCAAGGTGACGGTCAGCCATCAGGAGCACGACTGACGATGGGGAGGTCTCGTCAGAGACGCCGGCGTAGATGATGCGCGCCGCGGACTGGAACGGCCCTGACCAGACCGTGTACGCGCCGCCAAGGTCCTCGGTGACGGGCGGGAGGTCGGTGAGGGCCTTGGTGAGCGGGTTGAGGAGCCGCACGGCGTGGTTCGCCTTGTCACGCAGGAGCAAGAGGCCCTCGGTGGTGGTCTCGAGGTGGTGTCGGGAGAGCTCCGGTAGGTCGACGCGGGCGCTGGCGCCGGTGGAGAGGTTGAGGAAGCGGCGGCCGTCGCCGTCCGTGCGGTTGGACAGCATGATCCAGCGGCGCGGGCGGAAGCGGGGGTCCAGTTGATTGCGTCCCTCGCTCGGGTCAGCGGTGCAGTTCCTCCATTCCTTGCACGCGGCGCGGAGGCGGATGTACTCGGCCACGTCGTAGAGGAGAAGCCTGCCGGCGATGTCGTCGACGAGTACCGTCGGCAGGTTGGGCCAATCTCGCCTGCCCGTATAAATTAGACCATCGTTAAGAAAGCAAGAGAAATTAGGATAGGATAGAAGAAGGCAGGGGGGATGGGCTGACCATTCGTTTTCACGGCGGCGTTGGGGCAGGGGACGCCGGCCGGCGAGGTTGCTCCTCTTCCGCCTCTTGCTCATGCGATCCGCTCGGATCTGGTCCTGCTTTGGTCGAGAGGCGTGGCGGCGGCTGAGACTGACCCGCCTTGGTATTTGAGTTCAGTTCTACTCCACGATATATATGAGGATGGAAATGGGCCGTAAGGGGAAATGGGCACTGCCGCACATAACATGTGATTGCTGGGCTCAGAGAACCCCCACAAAAATTTTGCCACCATTTCACTCAGAAAAAGGAGGGAGCGGCTCAAGGGGCTGGCCCAGCTAGGCTGGAACGCCGCTTCTTCAACGCCTTTTTTTATTGTGTTAGTACTTTCATACTTATATTTTTGAAATGGAAAAATATTTTATTCATTTATTTGAAAATATAACCGCTCCTTTAAAAGAATGTTCGTCCAGTCTAAACAAGATACAAATTGTACTATTTAATAAAATGTTAATGCAATATACAAATGAGTATATAATGTAAAAAGTTAATGTTTTGTACCATTCAAAAATGTTCTTGGAATTTTACAAAAATATACAATATAAAACAAGTCCGTGCAGATTAAAAATTATTTGTACCATTCGAAAAATTATAAATTACATTTAGTAAAGTCACAAAATTTGAAATTTTATCCATGAAATTTTAAGAAAATGTTTATATAATATAAAAACGTTACATAGCATTAAAAAATGTTTAAAATTTATTCAAAGAAAATATTCAAAACATGTGTTTCAAAAAATATTAACCACACATTTTCAAAATGTTCAACATGTATAAAAATAATGGTGCGCGTGTATGCAAATTTTTTACAACATGTATTGAAACAAGTCGATAAAAAAGAAACAAAAAATAAAAAGGTAAGAACGAAAAAAAGGAAAAAGGAAAAGATAACCAATAAACAACCGTAGAGAAGAAGAAAACGGAAGAAAAACAAAAAACCCAACAAAATGAAAATAGAAAACCTGAACAAGAAAAATAAAGCCAAAAAGGAAAAACAAATATTAAAAAGATAACCAAACCAAATAAAAAGAAAAAAAAACATTGCGTACAAGAAGAACAAACTTTCCTACGCGGCCAGAAAAACCTCTCGCTTGGCTGGCTTGTTCACAGCAACCTTGAAGGCGAGACAAACTTATGTCTCACAATGGTTAGGATATAGCCCCGGCGAAAAGAAAATGGTATTTGCACATATGTTACTTCTCGTACAGTGGGCGAATCCATGAGTAGAAGATTTTCGAGAGTCGACGGGTGACACACAGTCGCCTCAAGAAACTCTTGAAGTTCAAGGAAAAGGAACCCAATTGTTATGTCCATACTTCATTTCAACATCGATGACGCCTAAACCTCAGCTTTGTCGACACACATTCATGGAATACCAACGAACTGGATATATCAGTTGATCCTTTGTACGATAACACAATGACTAACAACGAAAGTGTAAAATTTATAGCTTCCAAACTCAGTCTGAAAGAAACATTATTCTTTTTGTTTGCCGAATATGCTTTCAGCAACGTCAAGGTATAAGAATATAGAAGGATCTAACTTTTAGACATTTTTGTTTAAACTCCAAGGCAATCCCTGTTTAGAAAAATGTAAGCAGCAATGCTAGAATAACTAGAGCAATATGCGTGCAATCTGATTCCAGAGGGGGAAAAAATGAAATAGATGGACCAAGCAAAATGAAATTTTTGATCCTCCACATGGTTCTCTTTTTTTTTGTTAAATGAATCTCAGACTTAGGAGAGCATGTTCTCTTTTCTATAGGTTGGCATCACTGTCAAAGACCCACACCTCCCGGTTGGATTGCTTATGTTCGTGCACCATGGATTTTTCAATATTAGTTGTTTACATTGTATCCCTGCTTTACACAAGAATGAAGAATTTTGTTAGATTTTAGTTCAAAAAACTGCATGCATTGGTTCCTAATTTGATGCAAATAACCAAAATGATAGGATATTATTTTTTGCAGTGTTCTAAGGGAAGCAGGTTCTCTGTTATACTCCCTCCGTTCCTAAATATTTTTCTTTCTAGAGATTTCAATAAGTGACTACATACGGAGCAAAATGAATGAATCCATACTCTAAAATATGTCTATATACATCCGTATGTGGTAGTTCATTTGAAATCTCTAAAAAGACAAATATTTAGGAACGGAGGGAGTAGCTTGCAAGCCATTGTTGGTTGCTAATATGTAAGGGTGCTGCTTTCGCTAGTCCCATGATTCAGGTTGGATATGCTTGCTGCCCACATTTTTTTAAGTGATGCTTTCTTAACTGAAATGGCTTGTGATTATACTGACATATTACTTTTCTCCCTCAGCTGGTCCAAGTACAGAGAGGACAGCAGAAGATTGAAGACCGCTCTCTGTGATGCATGGATGTGATGATTTTGCGGCCATCAGGATTGATTTATATTATTTAAGTGGCCCATGAGATGTTTGAGGAAATGGCTATAGTAGATTAGCAAGTGAGTAAATATGCAGGCTTCAGTTCATATGAACCATTTTGTGACCCAGCTTGAGTTCGTTGATTTTTGACAACAATTATTGATGCTGCTAATATTGATCTGTGCTACATCAACATATTTTAGTCCATGTAAATTTGAACAATATCTGAATAGTCTGAATCCTGAAATTACAAAACATGGTCTTTAATTAAGCTAGTTGTAGTAATATTACTTTTTACATGGCTGGCGTGCAAGTTAAATGTTCTAATACAGTTTGTGTTTTCAGGTATTTTGAATTAATATACTAAACATATATGTTCAAGTAGTTCTTTCTCCTCAGTGCAGCTACAATTTCGTAGATAAAAGGATAGTATTGAGAGAAATCATCTGTCTGATAATCGGATCAGGCGCATATTTTTGTTTTTTGTTTGTTTCGTTGGTATCATTTGATTGCAGATTTCGGTTAGCTAAGAGAGAGCTAAGAGATAATGGTAAACAATTTCTACCAAGTGATTGAGCTACTTTTTTCAAGACCGGTCAGGTGACTGGGCCAAATCAATAATAAGGAGCTTAGTGTTTTATTATGTGATTTGAGCTGATCTAGGTTGTTATTTCTTTCAAGCTATAAGTTATGATGTAGTACTAGTTATATCTACTGATAAGGTGAAAGAGTAAATCTGTTTTGTTGTACTTAATTTCGGTGCACTGTATTTTTCTTATCGACATTCCTCAACATAAGTTAACTCTAGAAAAAGGTGCTCCAATTCTGCTCGTTGGAAATTTCAGCTAGCTGAGCGGTCTGTACAGTTTCACAAAGCTTAACTTAAGACACAGTTTGGTGATTACATTATTACGGCTACGTTACATCTGTAGGGGTTGAATTGAGAGCTAGAAATTCAGAGTGACATTATGTCTCATGGAGTGATAATTACGAAGACATACGCAAAAGGGACCGCTCGAATCAAACAAGCTGCTAATTTAGTAGTACCTCTAGCTAGCACTCATGCAAAAAGGTATGCTCTTCAGATTGTTCTGATTCAACACAAGCACAAATGAACAATTAATCTTTGAGGCCGCCGAGGAGGCCGGCGCAACAGACGAGGTACTCCTGGAGGGTACAGGGGCGAGCAAGAGGCATAAGATTCAGCTCTGGTCTGCCCTGGCGGTACCGTTTCACTGATATATCGTCTAGAAGCCCTGGCACGTCGGTGGCGAACTTAAACGGTGGATCAGCGGTCTTGTCTGCCAGATACCGCACGCCCCCATGTACACGGCGTTCCCTGCCACGCATGGAAACCTCCGGGCCGAGAGGGAGAAGCAGGCCACATCCCCCACAAACACGGCGCGGTGCCGGCCAATGTCCTCCACCGGAACAAGTCTCTTCCCGGCCACATCCACCTCAAACACCTGGATCAGGTTCCACCGGTTCTCCCTCATATGGTGCTCCACCCTGATCACGTCCATGACCTTCCTCCCGCGCTTCATGATTCTTTCCTCATCGGCGCTGAGGTGGTCCAGGTTGATGTAGTAACGCACCATGAGCATGCCGCCACCGGAGCGGTGGTCGTCTTTGTCGGGAGGTACGAGGTAGCAGAACATGTTGTAGTCGGTGTTGGGCTGGTCCACAACCACGGGCACCACACGAGGCTCGGGACAGAACCGCGCATGCATTACATACCCCTCAAGAGTCGCAAAGTAGAAGCGCCCCTGCAGGGTCGACGCCGACGAGAACCGACACGACATGGGGTCTCGTCATCCATCACCGCCCACCGCTGGTCTCCAGGCTTGGCGTAGGCTATGGCACGCCCAAGGTGACGGTCAGCCATCAGGAGCACGACTGACGATGGGGAGGTCTCGTCAGAGACGCCGGCGTAGATGATGCGCGCCGCGGACTGGAACGGCCCTGACCAGACCGCGTACGCGCCGCCAAGGTCCTCGGTGACGGGCGGGAGGTCGGTGAGGGCCCTGGTGAGCGGGTTGAGGAGCCGCACGGCGTGGCTCGCCTTGTCACGCAGGAGCAAGAGGCCCTCGGTGGTGGTCTCGAGGTGGTGTCGGGAGAGCTCAGGTAGGTCGACGCGGGCGCTAGCGCCGGTGGAGAGGTTGAGGAAGCGGCGGCCGTCACCGTCGGTGCGGTTGGACAGCATGATCCAGCGGCGCGGGCGGAAGCGGGGGTCCAGTTGATTGCGTCCCTCGCTCGGGTCAGCGGTGCAGTTCCTCCATTCCTTGCACGCGGCGCCGAAGCGGATGTCCCTCGCTCGGGCCACGTCGTAGAGGAGAAGTCTGCCGGCGATGTCGTCGACGAGTACCGTCGGTAGGTTGGGCCAATCTCGCCTGCCCGTACGTGTAGACCGTCGTCAGAAAAGCAAGAGAAATTAGGATAGGATATAAGGCAGGGGGGATGGGCTGACCATTCGTCCTCACGGCGGCGTTGGGGCAGGGGATGCCGGCCGGCGAGGTTGCTCCTCTTTCGCCTCTTGCCCATGCGATCTGCTTGGATCTGGTCCTGGTTTGGTTGCTGAGTGGTGCTGGATGAGAGGCGTGGCGGCGGCTGAGACTGCGGCTTCTGTATTTGACTTCAGTTCAGTTCAGTGCT